TATTAGAGATAATACATATACGTGTATACATACACGCGGAAACACAAACACAATCTAAAACACAAACAATGACACATGCAGAAAAACGAAAAACACACCCAACACACAGAGATACAAATATTAACACAAAAACAACACACACCTTAACCAAACAAATACAAACAACAAACAACACACCTAACACACATACACAAACAACACACACACATCACAAACACATGTAAACACACATTAACAAACACAACACATACACAAACACGCAAAACACACATTAAACAAACACACACACACAAACACAATTAACAAACACGCACATACACAAACAAACACGCAAACACACATTAACAACACGCACATACACAAACACGCAAACACACATTAATAAACACACACACCCAAACACGAAACACATTAACAAAACACACACATAACAACAACACACAAACACGCAAACACACATTAACAAACACGCACACACATTACAAACACACACACACATACACACACAAACACACATACACACACACATATACACAAACAAACACACACATTAAACAACACACACACACCAAACAAACACACACACCCAAACAAAACCACAACAAACACAAACACACCCAAACAAACAAACACAACCAACCAAACAAACACACACACACCCAACCAAAAACACGCCCACACTTTCCCAAACTCACTTGCCAAACGCCTTAAATCATCTCGAGAACGAACACGTCCTTTCCCGAGCCCAAAGTGTAGGCTATTGCACAAACAACAAATACACAATAGAAAAACAAACAATAACACATGCAGACAAACGAAAACACATCCAAACACACACCACAAGCACATAACATAAACACACACACAACCTTAACACACATACACAAATAAACAAACGCAAACACATTAACAAACACACACATACACACCCAACACACACATATTAAACAAACAACAAATACAATACAAACACAAATGCACCAAACCACAAACAAATGCACAAAACCACGACCAAAACAACACACACACACAAACACACACACACATACACAACAACAAACACACCCAAACACGCCCACACTATCCCCAAACTCACTTGCAAACGCCTTAATCATCTCGAGAACGGACACGCCCTTTCCTGTCCCCAAATTGTAGGCCTTTGCTCCCTCTGAAACTCTCCTCGAAGATTTTGCCAAGTGCCGCCTCATGTCCCAGTGCCAGGTCGACCACGTGGATGTAGTCCCGAACACCTGAGGAACAAATTAGATTTTTTTTTAATGATTATTATAAAAAAGTGAATTGGAAAAATGGGTAGAAGGTGTTCTTGTTAAGGGGTAGGGGGAATATTTGTATTCTTGGTATTCTTGGAAGCGTAAATGGGTATTTGATTGTGTGTGGATAGATAGATAGATAAATAGATAGATAGATAATAGGTAGATTGACAGACAGATAGATAGATAGACAGATATATGGATGGATTGATAGACAAACATAATAGATAGATAGATGGAAAGATGACTATATAGATATATATTATATATAGATATATAGATAAATAGATAGTTGTATAGATATATGAACTGATAGATAAACAGATATAGATAAATATAGATAGATAGGTAAAACAGATATAATGATAGATGAACGAACCAGACATATAGATAGATAGAAAGATGAAAAGATAGATAGATAACTGGATACATATATAAACTGATAGATAAAATGGTAGATAAACATATAGATCAAATGATAGATAGATAAACAGATAGATAGATAGGCAGATAGATAAACAGATACATAGATATATAAACAGATAGCTAAATAGATAAATAGATCGATAAGCATAAATGTGCACGTAAATAGATAAACAGATAGATAGAGATTCAGATACAATTATATGTGTTACTAATCACATATACCAATATAAGCTTTAGTTTAATAGTGATGAACAGAAACATCATCTTTCTCCTCAAACACATAAATCCTGAAACCTTTGGGACCTATCACACTATTTTGCCAATTTTACAATTTTGCTACCACACTTTTTTTGCATTTCCGTACGAACTTTTCGTATGCAAATGGTCTGAATCTGTCACTCTAGCACTTTTTCCACCATTTCTGCATTTTCGTATAAACTATCCATTGCAAGTGTTCGTCTAAATAAACATGGCTTCATCTAAGTAAAATCCCGAGAATCACACGAGCATTCTCATATCTTCGTTTTTCAAGAAATGTGATCCCTGTATTTTGAATGAAAAAACTATTCCAGAAAATATTGAATTGGGTGTACATGAACATTTTTTATGTAACTTATAAAAAAAGGCTTTTTAGTTGTATATATCCTCCGTAGCACAAGACCAAGACGGAATGAATCAGGTGATAACGGTCGATACCGCATGCATGAGATACCCTCTCCAACTATCACTTTTTCCATCAATTTCTTGCG